CACCTCTTTGGTGTAACAGGACTTAATTATCTTTCAAGATTTTCCCACCTTGTTATACATGAACCCGATAAACCTCTATATTTGCCTCAGCTAAAGGCTCTCAGATTTTTCTAATGTACGATAAGTATCTTGATTTATTTTGCGAGGAAAGATCTGTGCTTTTAAAGGATGCCTGTCATTCTTAATACGTTCAATTTCGTATAATACTGTGCAATACTTCTGTTGTAAAATAGTTGCTTCTGGCGCCGCCGCACGGCGCGCAACGCGCGTTGGCGCCTACAAACCTAAGTGGATACTTCAAGCATTGTGCAATGCGTGAAGTATCCACTTAGGTTTGTAGGCGCCAGTGAGCCTCTCGCGCTGGCAGCCGCAGCACGCTTTAATATTTATACTCGCATAGTCAGCGTTTTTTAACTCAGGATTTTGAAATGTTTGCACACTCTGCATTGATTATTCTCATTTAAATTGATGGGAAAAAATATGTATCAAATTGTCAAAGGAGAATAATAATATAATGTATGTTTTTTATATATTGGTGGTGGTGGTCAAAAATTATTTCCAAAGCACTTTAATTTTTTCTTTTATATTTTGTGCTTTTATTGTGATGCAGCGAGGTGTACGCGCAACCAAACGCTCAAAATTTGACGTATTTGACTCTAAAAGATCGATGTACAAATGGGTTAAAACTAAAGATCGCGTGCTTCTTGGTTTTTTCCCCCAGTTTATTCATTTTTGCAGTTTCTGTCAGCACAACTGCGGCTTATTGAGATTGATGTCGCTTGGAAAAAGGTTTTACAAATATTTGTCACGTTTTAAAAATATAAATGTTTTCCAAATGAAGAAATAATTTCGTAAAGAAATAATTAAAAAAATAAAAAAAGTACCTATACACATATAAGGTATATTGTACATCGAATATTTTAAGGATAGAAATAAAACCAAAGATTCACAAATGACAATTTAAAAAGATGATTCAAAAGGAGAAAGTATTAAAATTTCATTTAGAAAATGAGCAACCATAACAATACCTCCTTCTCTCTCAATTTCTCATTTCCATATTGTCAATATAATTCAACATACCGACTAAAATATAACGCTTGAACCGAGTCACCGTTAACGTGTGGGCGTAAACTACTGGACAAAAAAGGTGCGCGGACAAAAAATCGTTGACAAATTGTCCTGAAACCTTATGATACATTAATAGCCAACTCGTAATGATATTTGTCATTGTTATGATATTTGTTATTCGCTATTGTTATTTGCACGTACACATAAACCGTCGAACAAAATATATTAAGAATGCCGACCGGGGTGCTAGATCGAACAAGAAACAACTTAATCAGCCAAAATACACATAATAAAAGAACAATTTAATTTGGGGAAAAGGCTGCAAGTAAAGAAAAAGAAATAAACAAAACCCGGAACGTTTCAAAATAATTACAATTTCATTTTCAACCGGAAAATAAAAAAAAATTCATTTTCCGGTTGAAAATGAAATTGTAATTATTTTGAAACGTTCCGGGTTCTGTTTATTCCTTTTTCTTTATTTGCAGCTTTTCCCCCAAATTAAGTTGTTCTTTTATTATGCTAGATCGAACTATTAAAATAAATCCTATTTGCGCTCATCTCACTTATATGTAGTGAATATTTTTTCATCAGTTTTACAATTTTTGAGTGTTATTTTTATTATTACTAGTCCTTTTTGTTATAACCAAATTCCCTGCGATTTATGTCACTGCCAGACTGATGAGAATTATCAAGGATGTTTCAAGAATTTTACTTCGGCAAAAAAATTGAGAGCACAATGAAATGATTATAAGAAGAGATACTACATGTCCCGATAAGGGGCTGATATTTGAGGATTTTGATACTTAAGAGAGGCGGAATAACTATTGTCCCAGTCTCTCTCTCCATTAAAAGAAAAATTTAATTATCACGATTTTCGGTTTAAAATTCATTTCGGCATTTTCCATGAACCCCTTTAGAATTGGAATCATCCAAGAATATCCCTTATAAATTCCTCTTGACTCTTTAGTAAACAAATAGAAAACATTTCAAACAAAATCACAGGATATTAGCCAACTGCGATCCCTTCCCGAAAAGCGAACTCGACTTTTGAATAATGCATGATGCGTGAAACAATGGAGGCATATCTGGAGTTAGGTTCGAACCCAACATACAACTATTTTAACTCCGCGGTAGGCCTGGTTGCATACGCCCGACTTTGCGGGCGAAATCTGAAATTTGCCCACGGCTCTCGCGATAACGAATGGGCGTGATCAGTGTTTTACTCCAGCCTGACGTCTTTCGGCCAATTGTTTTGACGCTCTTGTCGCACAGATTTATAACGCGATATCAAAAAGAAAATCAGAATGCGCATTGAATAACAAAAGTGCTAGACCACCTTAGCCTCCCTCGCATGCTTCCAATGTTATTTTCCATGAGGAATACAAAAGTCTTTGTCGGCTGTCTGATTGGCTGAAAAGCATGTGCGGGAAGATCAGGCGGTCACGCTCTTCTGTTTTTCAATGCGGATTCTTTATTTTATCTTCTCGCTGCGATATTAGCAAACTGCGATGCTCTTCGAAAGACGAACTCGGCATTCGAATATTGCACTGAGCGTATAACAATAGAAGAATATACGAAGTTTGGTTTGGACACAACATGCAGCTATTTTAACTCCTCGGTAGGCCGGGTTTCTTGCGCTCGAAGAAAACACTGATCGCACCTGTACCTTATCGCAAGAGCCAGAGCTGTATATTTAGAGTACCTATATTGAGAGAGTATGGCCACTGGGCCCCATGGAGAGGCTTAGGACCCAAAAATGGCGGTGCTTTGTTTTGGTTTTTGTGGATAGGAGGGGGGTAATTGCCAACTTTTGACGGTTATCACCAATCGCTCTTGCTGCCAACCTTACTACATCTAAGATAATTTTTCTCAAAAATCGCACATGATTAGTCTTAAAAATATGTAAAAAAATCGCAATAGTGCATTTGAGTAAATTTCTCGTTATGATAAGCAAAAAAAACTACATTTTGAGTCATTTTGCATTATATTAATTCATGGCGTCCGCCATTTTTAGGTCCTAAGGGCTCCATTCAGCCTAAGATGGCTGAGCCAATCAGAGGTGGTAACACCAGTGGCCATACTCTCTCAATATAGGTACTCTACGCATATTGCGAGGGCGCGTTTGCCGAGGGCCGATCTCAGATTTCGCCCGCAAAATTTAACGTAGGCAACCTGGCTCACCGCGGAGTTAAAATAGTTGCATGCTGGGTTCAGACCCAACTTCGCACATTATTCCATTATTCCTCACGTTACTATGAGTTAAAAGAGCGTTCTGATATCCACGCTATTGTAAAAAAGGCTCAGATTTTATCAAAATGGTAACTATAAACATTCTTAGTTCATTCATCTGAACCGCAAATTGACAGAAATGTATGTGACCTATAGCAAATGCAAACTTGCAATATGAATGTGGAATTTAAATGGCTAGCCTTTAGATTTTAATACATCGTAGGATGTTACTTACCCCTTGCATATTTTTCAACATACACAAAGTGTATTTCTGAAAGAAAAAGAAGAGAAAGAGATATTAAAATTTGTTTTCCAAAAGTCCTGGTACTGTGTCAATGAAGTTTCTTATTTAGCTTGCTGGTCCATTAGCGTAGTTTGATATATGAGTGTAATATGAGCTCGTCCATAGAATTCTAATTCAACAGGAAAAATAATTTTTTATGATGAATAATTTTGTATGTATTACTTTGTTGTACGAAAGTTAACCAATTTTTAGAATTGCTTTTCAGCTTGTTACGCTTGTCAATTGTTTATTATCCTAAATAAAAATCCACCCTCAAAAGTTTTTCTTTTTTTTGTACCTTATCGCAAAATAGTGCACCGTCTCAACTATGTCAAACATATCAACCAGTGCATAATGTAAGATTTTAATTATGATGTTTGTATCATCCAGTCCCAACACCAATTTAGTCGTGCTAAAAAATACAGAATTCATCATCCTTACTTTAAATGCCGGATCGTCATTCACTCCTTCCTCCATGAATTTCGCAAGACCCTCTGCAAACAAGGAGAGAAATAATTTTTCTGAAAACGCAAAACTCAAAGCTAAACTGCTTCGGTGGTAATCAATGATTAACCACAATAATCTCTTTTTTTATACGAATATTACAGTGACAGTCAACGCGTACTATGGCAGAAAAGCAAAATAGGATGTTGTGTATAGGTCAGAGCTAAAAAACGACGACTGGCAAGTGGGTCACGAGAGGGAAATTATTCTCTTTAAAAAAAACCAATCCAAGGCATTGCACATTCGTTAGGGTACAACAAGAGCCTTTCACATCCAATATTTTTCTACGCATAAACGCATAAAAAACGAAATCCTATAAACTGCATCTCGGTCCAAACAATTTGTCATCAAAATTTCCAGTTTTTTTTTTTTTTTTTTTTTTTTTTTTTTTTTTTTCATATCGTAAGATTATCTGTCATTTATTCCTTATTTGAGCTTGCGTTTTCTCTGGTTTCACTGGCGACGTATGACATGTTTTGAGGCAGCTCTTAATATTTGAGATGAACTCTTTAGCATCGAGGAAAAATTACGAGAAATTATGATTTTTGGGTCATAGCTACGTATAGTCTTATCGTTTACATTTTTTTATTAGAGAAGGTGGGCGCGTCATATTTTGTGTCAAATTTTAACATTAAATTGGCGCGAAGATGGTTCATTTGACGAATGATCAGTGGTGCAGGATGGACATCATCACAAATCTTCACACCAGTCTCTCTCAAAAACTAACTGTCTGCCAAAGATTTCTTAATTCCCAAAAAAATGTGTTTCATTATGCAGAATGGGACTCAGTCACTCGAAATTGTGATGCTTCTGCATAAATTGGCTGCTCCGCATGGGCGAAACCAGGGGGGGGGGAGGGTGCACCCCAAGAGATTAACGTCCCTCCCTCCCCTCAAGAAATGTATGGGGTTTCCCCGATTAAGCGCGTTGCATATCTTTCATTTATGGAATTGCACCTTGATACATTTTTCTGTGAGAATAGCTCAAATTTCTCCACAGAAGACGCAATTTTTGAAAATTCTCCCGAAATAGCTTCCCGAATTCTACCCCCCAGACACCCTCGATGCAAGGTGCCCTTCTGCTCTTTTGCCCATCCTCCCTTCATAGAAAATTCCTAGTTCTGCCCATGATGCTCCAACAACTGAGAATCATTCGCAATTCAACCTTTTTCATCACTCAGCAAAATCGATCCATACGTGGATGGTAAGACTGAATATTTTCAAGTTTGCAGCTCTGATATTGTCAGGTCGAGCGCTAGCTGTTTTATTCCAATCGAGGGGTCAATGAAATGAAAGCGAAAATGTTGAATTGCAAAATTCACCCACCTTTCTTCACACCAGAGCGTGCCATGCACGTCTTTTTGTGCATATCTTTCATCTGCTTGATCATTTGTTCCGAAACTGCCGTCTGTTGTAAGCAGAAAAATACAATGATAAAAAATTATTAAATTTCGGTTTTTCTAATATCACTCGGATGTAAAAGATATCTTCTTCGTCCAAAGAACATTACACTTCCTGTATGGGTTAGACAACACCACTAATTTTTCCACACCTGCGGAGCTCTTAAGCAAAATGTAAATAATTCAGTTGAAAGTGAGTTACAACCGTTTTGCTCTGAACCCCTAAAAACGCCTCACGCTCTTTACATTTGCTCGCGTCCCTTGTACCTATAATATATTTTGCGCTGAACATTTAATTTAAACACAATAATGTAATGGTAGCACTCCATAACGAGTACGCCAGAGAAAGTCATAATAAGCTAACTGTTGTTTGGTTCAAAAATAAGGAAAATTGTGAAAAGTCAAACTTTTTGTTTTTAAACGAGCACAACGTAGTGGGCCCACAATTTGCTAAGCCAGAGTATTTTCGATTTTCTTGGCGTTTTTGACGTCGTACGAATTCCCTTTGATTTTTTCTCGCCTGATGAAGATTATTCCATAAAATTACAACAATAAATTTTGTGTATTTTTATTTGGTTAAGCAAAATTGATCTTGTTTTGAAACATCGCAATTGAGGAAGCAGTTTTAAACTTTCATCGGCAATTTTCTGTATCATCCACAAATTCGTCTGATATCAAGAACTACAATAAGAGACGTGAGCTGTCTCATTATAATGTCCGATCTAGACAGTAGACATCCTCAACTTTTGTCGTGATACTCGTTTAATCAACCGTTCATAGATTAAATAATATCCTTAACAGGGCCGGATTTGCCTACTTGCCGCCCATGGGCCGCCTGTATTTTGCCGCCCCCTGCTCATTCCTTTTGAAACATCAATAAAAACGATCAAATGAACGTGCCAGCGGGGAAGGGGTGCATAAGACGCGTTTACTCGTGTTTGACACATTTTTTGCGAAAGCCCTGTCAACACTACTAGCAAAAGTTCACGGAACTTTGTGCAAAAGTTAAGTTTCGTAAACCTAGCTCTGCGAGGACAAGGCCTTCCATTCATAAGAAATGAACGAAAAAATTATGAAAGAACAAACGTAAATGTGGATTAATGATTTTAACTTCCGCCTCCGCTCCGCGCTGACCGCACCATGTTTGGCGCAATGCGTGAAGTATTCACGCAGTCTTGTAGGCGCTATCCGTTTCACGCTGACCGCAGTGACCGCACTCTGTTTGATGCAATGCGTGAAGTATTCGTGCAGTCTTGTTGGCGCTAATATGTGTTACATGCCGATCGTCGCGCCGAGGGCTTCTCCTTTTCATCAGGTCCTCGTCATCATTTCTCTCTAAGTCGCGCCGTTCCGGGCCAAATTGCGTGTTTTAACTCTTTGGTTTCTCTCTTAACTTGAATAATTAAAGGTGCTGTCTCTTGTTTCTCTGAAAGACGACAAAATTAGAAATTATTATACTCTCAGGAAATGAATGATTTTGTCGCCTTCTCTCGTTTGTACTTTTTTTTCTAAATCCGATTTTTTTTATACCTACACTTAAGAAAATTGCAAAATTTGCCGCCTCCTATAGATTTGCCGCCATGGGCCACCCCCTTAATCCGGCCCTGATCCTTAATTTGATTGGTACCGAAATTTCTCGTATTAAAGCTTCAGGTATGTTATATTGGAAACATGAACGCACAATGATGTACATACACTATGTGTTCACTGCGGAGTGCGGAAAATTCCCCTCACTTTCGCATGATACGAAAAACTTACACTTAAGTGCAAATAGTTGCTTCTTCGACTACTTTTTGTATTATTTTGGTATCATAAAATTTAAAATTGGTGCGATTGCAGTGGAAAGCTCATTTCTCCTCGGCTGGACTCACCTAGTTCTCATGACTTTAGCGAGCGGTTTTAGTCTGCCGGTGGAACAAAGGGGGAGAAAGGTAAATCCAATTTTCAAAATTCAAATAATAATTTATGTTTTTCGAGGAACAGCAAATAACAATATTTTACGTAATTTACACACATATTTACAACGAAGTCATACTAAACTAATGTATAACAGATAAAAGCGAAATCTTACACAATTTTAGCCTCGTATGATGAATTGCAACGAAATTGAATTACATTGAATCTATCCCATAAACATTTGGTGCTTGCCTCAATTTTAATTTGCGTGCTTTTGAATTAAATTGAAGTTGTTGTGCAAAGTCAGAGGTCCAAATTGTTTTAAGGTGTAAATGAGTTCTTTTCCCTGAAGTAACTATTGGAAAATTGATGCATGTGATATTCTTTTTGAAAACCGCGTCGAAGATTGGACACATAGGTAGACCATTTTTGAAAATTAGAATACTGAAGAACACCGGTCCCCTGAATGATGGTCTCAACTAAGTTTTGATCAAAGTTTGATCGGCGTGTACTTAAATTAGATACTTTGCAGGGGTTTATGAACGGACATGCTTGCTTGGAATGTTAGACTTTCCAAGATAGCTCAGTTTTTGCAAACGGTTATTCTTACACTGGTAAAAATTGGCAGTAGAATGTGTGTTCCAAAATACTATAGACCTAAAGCCGGCTGTAAGATTTCCAATAGCTTCTGTAGCCGGCTTTACAATTTCTTATAGCCTTTTATAGCCGATGGCGACTAAGCAACAGCCAGACGATAAAGTTT